TAACGCTCGATGCATCGATTTGCCACGGTCTTACGATAAAAATATATTAAGACCCACATTAAACGCATTTATTCATTTTCATTCTTAATTTTTCCAAACAAATTAATTATTAAATAAGATGACAACAAATTTATTGTGTTATGCAAAAATTATTTCCATTACAATTGCATTGAGTGCACAATAAATGCATTAAGTGGAGTAAAAATGTTAGTACCTAAATAAAGTAAAAAAAAAAAAAAAATAACTAAGTAAAAATGTGAGAGTAAAAGTATAGTGCAGTAAAGAAATAACTAACTCAAGTATGACACACATTATGGGTGGAGAAAAGGGGCGAAGAATTGTCGAATTTGAAGTTGAATAAACACCTCTTTGAACTTCCTTGATCCGTATCAATTGAATTGTTCTCTTATATGATATCTCGCTGTATGGGACATAAAAAGGGTGCGTTCTTTCCTTGCGAGCAAAGGATGCATCGAGGAGTCATTCTTGGGCACTTTATCGAAAGTTGCGATCGACTTGTGCCAAGTCGTCGTCGTAGTCGTCGTAGTCGTCTTTGGGAGCAGTTTCATGGAGGTGAAGAATGGCGTTTGAAAATCTTTCCTCCACCCTCTACTAAATCTGTACCGAACATACATAACTCATACTATAAACCTGACAAGGGTTTATGTGAAAGTTTCTTTCAATCTTGTTTTCAGAGTTCATGATAGAGGTTACTTTTTCATCATATTTTATGCTTCTTTACATAGATAAATGTTGGGAAATTATAAATATTTTATATTCCAATATTAATTACCCGCCGTTGTTGCTTATATGACGGCGAAGATCGTATTAAATCGTAAATTAAAGTAAAATCGTAAAATAAAAAATTGGTACGCAGAGAAAAAAAAAGAAGAGCAATAAATTTCTATTGTTGTTAGAACATCTTTTTCTTTTCCAAAACACATATTTTCTTTTTATAATAAATCTGAATTGTTGGGACAACATTTTTTTTTTTGTTCTTTATCAACAATGCGATTTATCGAACAATGCAACGAAATAAAGTACAATGTTAGCAGAAAAATATTGTAAACTTAAAGATAGTATATAAAAAATATTGTGAACTAACAAAAATAAAATCTAATATGATAGTAGCAAAAAAAGTATTATTAACAAAGAAAAAATACTATAATATAAAAAAATACTGTTCACCATTAACAGAAAAAAAGCTGTAAATGTAAAGAACATTTCCCTCTTTAAATATATAGAGTACAATAAAGTTTGTGAAAATGACGGAGAATCAGTCTTTCTCACCAGCAATTGTTGTTTTGTGAAGTGCAAAAGTCTTCTAAATTACACCTTCACCTTTTATATAAGCACTGTCTTAAAGAAAGATGTTTTTCTTGCTTGCAATATAGTGCCAGCTTGCAGCTTCCAAAAGATTCTTTCTCATTTTTCAATCGTTAAGAATCTTCTTCTTTAGCGAAATAAATACCTTCGGTTTCTTGATAATGTGTGCAATTTTTTTTTCCCTTAATGTTCTTCAAAAATTAATGAGAAATTAAAAAAATGAAATAAATTAAAAATTTAATTATTTAGGACCATAGTTCATGTACCTATTTATTATTATACAGTATTTGTTTTGAACTTTCTAACCAATTTGAAAATCCATTAAAAAGTTTTGGAAAATTTCGCATATAGAAAATAAAAGTTTAAGCATAAAATGAATGGGAAATATGTTTTTGCAATATTGTAGAATGAATGCATTTTTAAAAGTCACTATAGAAAATAATTGATTTCCATTTCGAAACAATGAGTGTGCGTACTTTATTAAAAACGTGACAAAGTTTTAGTGAATTATACAATAATTTTAATAACTTTTTTTTTTAGAGATACTAAATTAAAAGTGAATTTTATCAGAAAAGGGAACACAATGATGCATTGTATTATTAATTAATCAGCTTTTATAGATAACTTTCGAATACCATTCATATTGACAATGGAGAAATTAAAACTCTTCAATTGGGTCAAGTGGGTTTCAAAAATTTTTATTATGAATTGTAAACGAATCAAATAAAAAGCAAATCAAGTTAAAAACAAATATTTTCAAATTCAAAAGTAAAGAAAATAGTTTTAAAAATAGAAAATGAAAATTAGAGAAATTAATTTTAAGAATTAGAAAGAATAGAAAAAATACAAATAGACAAATAATGAAAATAATAAAAGAAGAATAGGTATACATTATTTTCAGAATTTTTTTCATTTAAGAAATGTAATATTTGAAGAATTTCTGAAAATAGTTGAGAAAAAAATAAATCCTTCTACGGCATTTTGAATTGGCTTTTAAAGTGCATTTTCAATTTATGAATTCCGTGCTTGCGTGCAAAGAAGGATGTACATTCAAAGCAATCCAATAACACTGAATACATTCCTCACTTCAATGGGGTATTATATCTACCGTATATCCAAATAATGGAACGCACCAAAGCAAGAAATCATTTGCATGCCATTTTACTCACATGAATTGTCTTCATCTCAAAATACTGTACAGAGACAACATATGAGTAATGAGAAAGTAGAGAGTTATTTTGAATCTGCATTGTTACTTGTCAGCCGGAAGTGCATCGATCATAAACGAACTGGACATGCAAACGCCAGAAATCCGTTTTGTTCCTTCTTTTCTTTTCTTTTTTTCTTCTTTTTGTTTCTCTTCTTTTTACATATGTTTTCTTTCAAAGAAACAAATTCGACAATGGCTGTAAAATACGATTTTTTAATTTTTAAACAAAATTTTCCAAAGTTTTAAGCCATATCTAAATTTTTACAGTTTTTAAAACATATTTTTATTTATTTATTATTTATTTGGAAACAATTTCAAAAATCGGTTTTTAATTCATAAAATCCGTTTTTTCGCTTCATAAAAATGGATTTTTAAAAATGATTTTCCAATTTGTTGTATTCTATTTTCGAAAATTGTTTTCTTACTTAAATAAATGTTCTCTACTGTTTACAAGCTGCCAAATGATTAAAACACCAAATCTTCAAACTTTTCTTATTTATCTTCAGAAATCTTCAAACTTTAAACTAAACACAAAAATTTCTTCAGATTTTGGTTACAATTTTTTCAAAAATATTAAAAATGAAATTAAATATCACAAACAATTTTAAAGAAATAAACTAATATTATTGTGTTTAAATCTGTTCGCAGTTTGAAGTTAGTTTTTGTTTGCTTCTCAACTTTTTAAATAAATTTCCTTTCTCAATGTTTTAAATTTTGATATTTATAAATGTAATTGAAGTCCTGACCAGAAAATTTGAAAAATTTTGGAAAATAATTGAATTTTGAAAACGAATTTTATTAAATTACCTGAAAATAATTTTGCTATTTTTAAAAATAATAATTGAAGTCTTGACATGAATTTTAAAAAAGATTTTTTGTGATTAATTTAATTTTTGTGATAAATATTGTAATTTATTATTCTTCCAAAGAGTGTTATTAAAATTATTGAAAATAATTTAATTCTTACTAACAATTTTTAAAAATAATTGAATCTTTTCGTGAAATTTTATTAAAATTGTTTTGAAAATAATTAAATTCCTGCGATGAATTTTACTGTTTATAAAAATAATTGAATTCTTCAAAAAAAAAGATTTATTCAAATTTTTAAAAATAATTTAATTCTTGCGAAAACTATTATTAGTTTTTTAAAATAATAAACAAGAATAATTATGTACTTAATAGCTGAATTTTTTAAATTTTGAATTTGAAATTATTCAAAAATAATTGAATTTTGGAGAAGAATTTTGCTTTTTTAAAAAATAATTGAAATTATTAAGAAAATTAATAATTAATTATTAATTATTAATTAATATTAATATATTAATAATTAATTATTAATTATTAAGAAATTTTATTAACTTTCTCTGAAAAGAACTGAATTTCTGTGAAGAATTTTAATATTTATTATGATAATTGAAATCTTTCGAAGAATTTTGTTAAAAGTTTTTAAAATAATTGAATTGAAGGGAAGAATTTTTAGTTTGGAAAATAATTGAATTCTTGTGATGGATAATTTTATTTACCAAAATAATTCAATGTTGATATTTTTAATATTTATTAAGATAATTGAATTCTTTCAAAGAAATTTATTAAAACTTTTAAAAATTATTGAATTTCGGCGAAAATTTTTATTATTTTTGAAAATAATTGAATTCTTGTAATAGATATTGTTATTTATCAAAATAATTGAATTTTGCAAAAAAATTTACAAAATTTCCTGAAAATAATTTTGCTATTTTTAAAAATAAAAATTGCAGTCTTGATGAGAATTAAAAAAAAAATTTGTGATTAATTTAATTCTTGTGCTGAATATTGTAATTTATTAAAATAATTAAATTAATCAAAAAATTATATTAAATTTCCTAAAATTAATTGAATTTAGGGAAAGAAATTTGCTATTTTTAAAAATAATTAAATTCTTGTAATAAATATTGTTATTTATTAAAATAATTCCATTTTTCAAACAATTTTATCTGAAATCCTGAAAATAATAAAAATGAAAATTAACTTAAAACGACTATTTTGTATCTTAAAATCAATTCTAGGTCTAAATAAATTAATAAGATTTTATTTCCTAATATAATTCAATTTTGTTTAAATAATTTTACGTCCGTTTATTAAATATTTTGTTAATTATTATTTATTTATTTTTTTATTAAATATTTTTATTTTTTTTTTATTATATTTTTATAATTAAATTTTATTAATTTCACTTGTCCTTATTAGTAACTGAAGGTTCAAAAATTCGAAAAAAATCATATTTTACTCGTAATTTACCATTATAAATATTATTGTAACAAAGGAAATTTAATATAATTCATAAAATTTATTTAAATTTCCCGCGCTGAAATTAAAGAGCAATTTTTGTTTACGAGAAATTCCGCGAGGTGGCCGCGGTCGAATCTTCCATAAGTGACATGAATTCCGCACTCAATATAAGAGCGACTTTGCGTCCGTTCAACATAAAAAGGGTGCTCGCTACTTCAATAGCGCGTCGATTCAAACTGTTTCGGCGGGGTATGGCTATCAAGACATACCCAGTACATAATTTTTGTAATTAGAGGCTGTTGGCTGCCACCTTGCACCGACGCCTCTGCCAAATTTATTAATAAAAAGAATTGTTTTTTGTCAAAAATTTATTTTTCGTTCGGGAAATTAGTAGAAAAGATAATTAAATAAATTTCTATTATCATTGTTTAACAAAAATTTACCTACAATTTATTTATAAATAGACACTTTTTTTTTACCTTTTTTTTCTATCGAAAATTAATGTAAAAGATAAAAATAAATTTCAATTATAATTACTTAATAAAAATCTATTTAGCCTTTATTATTTATTTATAAAAACCTTTTTTTGCTAAATTAAATTGTTTTTATAAATAAAAAATAAATAAATTTCTATATTATAATTGATAAAAATTTATTTAGTCTTAAATGAGTTTCTATTATAATCTCTCTAAATTTAAATTAGTAAAAATGTTTAGGTACTGAATTTTTGCTTTTCAATTAGTAAATAAATTAGTATATAAATTTTACTTCTGAATAGTAATTTCTACTAATTTATTAGTAAAATATATTAATATTTAGTATATTTACTAATTCAAAAATCAAAAGCAAAAAGTCATTCACTAATTCAAATTAGTTATAACATTTGTCTACTAATTTAAATTTAAAGAGAGATGGTTAAAAATTTTGTTTAGTCTGGAAATAAATTTTTCAATTAGAAAATTATTTAATGCGGAAATTTATTAATAAATTTTTACTACAATGGTTTTAATAGAAATTTATTTAAGACTTATTACCTTTGAAGGATATTTTATCTGTACAGGTCATGTAACATTTGGCTCGTGCCAAGTTTCAATAGTACATGTATCAATAAGACGATACCGATGGAAGAAATTTGCCATTGAGAACTTTACCTTTCATTTACCGGTCTCTCTTCCCCAACCACGCGGAAATTCGATCCCTTTGATATCAGAGTCAATGCATTCCTTAAGAACGTGTTTTACCGTTGGTACCAGTCGTTATGCGAAGCAAGAGAACTTTTATTCCCTTTGTAAAGCAATGCCTCGATAGTACATTTCAAAATCAGAGTGCCAAAAATTATTTTCATTTTCCGTAAAGGGAATTTTTATTTTCCTCTCAACAAGTCTATATTATTAGGAATTTTTTCATTATATTATTTTATTTATTTTTATTGTTGATAATAATAATAATAATAATAATAATAATAATAATAATAATAATAATAATAATAATAATAATAATAATAATAATAATAATAATAATATAATAATAATAATAATAATAATAATAATAATAATAATAATAATAATAATAATAATAATAATAATAATAATAATAATAATAGTAATAATAATTTAATTAATTATAATTAAAATAATAATTAAAAAGTATTTACTTCATGAAAATGAATTTTTTTCGAAATATATTAAAAATTTCAAATATTAGGTATTATTTGAATAATTAAATATTTTAATAAATAATTTTTATTTTGTAAAAACATCAAGAATTGAAGTTTATTATTATGGAGTTTTGAAAAAGGGAATATTTTCAATTAATTTTTTCAACATTTAAAAGCTGTTATTGATTGAGTATAATTACAAAAAATTCATTTGTTCTGGTAGTTGAAAATAATTTAAAACCTTTGAATATAATTTAATGTCATTCTTCTCTCAATCTGTATTACCAAAGGGATTAATTAAAATTCTTTTTGCAATCAATTAAAATTTCCATAACAATTCATTCATTTTCAGAATTGTTTAAAAACAAATTTTCTTTCACATTAATAAGAATCATACACAATTTTTTATTGTTTTAATGAAACGAAATATTTTCTATTAACAAAATTTTCATAAATTATTATCGATTGTAATAAAAAATTGTAAATAATTGTAGATTTTACATTTAGTAACTTTATAATCAATTTTATGATTTTGAAATTCTCCAGTTCCTAATGTAAAAGTTTAATTTTGCATTTTTATATTGCAATCAGTAATTTATGAAAATAATTTTAATAAAAAGTTTTAATAGAAATTTTTTAATAAAAGAAAACGTTCATTTGAATTTTTATAACTTTATTCGATAATTTAAAATTAATAATGGGCTTGTTTAATTTTTATTTGTTTGCATGTAATATGTTATTTAATAATTAGCCGATGTTACGCGCGCGAAACGTGGTATTATTATTATTATTATTATGCAAATTACAAAATTTTATATATTTCAATCATCAACATCAATATTTGAATAATTAGAGATTAAAAATCCTTCTCAGGATTCTAATGATTTTCAGTCCAATTTAATAAAATATATCAAAAGTAATTAATGAAGAATTTAAAATTTTAATTACTTACAGAATTTCAATTATTTTTAGAATTTTTTTTTTAAATTCAAATATATTTAAAAATTTAATTAGTTTTAGAAGTTGAATTATTTTCAAAGATTTTAATAAAATTCAATTATTTTCAGGAATTTTAATGAAATTCTTTGTAAAATTCAGTTATTTTGATAAAAAACAATATTCATCACGAGAATTCAATTATTTTCAAAAATAATAAAATTCTTTTCCAAAATTCAATTATTTTCAAAAATTTTTTAAACACTCTTGTCAGGATTTCAATTATTTTTGAAAATAGCAAAATTCTTTCCATAAATGCAATTATTTTAATTAATTTTAACAATAATCTTCGAAAGAATTCAATTATTTTCAAAAAGTTTAATAAAATTTCTTGAAAATATTCAATTATTTTCAGGAATTTTAATGAAATTCTTTGCCAAAATTCAATTATTTTCAAATTTTTTATAAAATTTTTCTAAATAATTCAATAATTTTTAGAAATGTAAATTAATTAATTAATTAATTAAAAATAAAAAGTCAAACAAATACTACTAACTTTAAACTGCGAATAAACATTCAGCCTCCATCGATTATTTACATAAATTTTAATATAAATAATTCGAAAGTAATTACTAATGAATATTTACTTGTTTGCATTAAAAAAAATTCGTATAATTTACGTTAATTAATAGATTTTTTCATTTAGCGCTTAAATTATTAAATATCTATTATTTAGCAATTTTTAATATCCATTGGAAAAAAAATTATTTGACTGAAATAATTGATTACTTTCTGTCTATTATTAAACAAATATTTACTCGAATCAAATAATTTTTATTTAAACCAAATAAATTGTATTTGCACCAATAAGTTCTGCATTTAAAACAAGTACCATTTATTTGATTTGAAAAAATTTGTTGAATCAAGTAAATATTTTACACTGAAAAAAAATTTATTTGATTCAAATAACTGATTAATTGACTATAATCAGTCATTAATTGATCAGTATTTAACTGAACAATTAAATATTTACTTGAATCAAATAATATTTATTGAAGTCAATTAAATGGTTCAATTCATATTTGATTCAATAATTTCAGTATTTGAATAAGCAACTATGAATTGAACCATTTAATTGACTCCAATAAATATTATTTGATTCAATTAAATATTTAATTGATAGTACTCAATTAATCGGTTATTTGAATCAAATACATTTTTTTTCAGTGTAGATATAATATTTTTTTGGAATCATTAGTATTTCTTAAATCATTAAATATTTATTATTTATTATTTACAATTTCTAATTTAATTATTAATAAATTTGATTATGCAGTTTTAGATATAATTTTTTTTGAATCGTTAGTATTTCTTAAATAATTAAATATTTATTATTTAGAATTTTTTAATTTAATAATTAATAAATATTGAAGTATGCAGTTTTAGAAATAATTTTTTTTTCCGAATCGTTAGGTTTTCTTTTCGGCGAATTCTACCTTGGGGTGGCTGACCCACGATGAGGTCAATGGACCCAAGGCCCGCTTTCATCCCCTCCACTCTAGCAATGAGAGCCCGCGAGCCTAAAATTCACTACATGGAAGGATACACGGTGCCTACTCACGAGTCTACTCAACCCCCGAATATACTCAAGTCCGAAAAGAAATTATAGTTATTTACAAGCAAAGTCCCTTTACTTTGGGATAGACGGTTATTTCGCAGTAGTTGTCCCCCCTCCCCCCTCTCTCCTCTCTTTGTATATTACACTCGTCGACGAAAATTTCGCGAGAGACAACTTCTACTTTCGCGAATGTTATAAAGATTATGTTGCTTCGAAAAAAGAAGAGAGAGAGAGAGGGAAAAAAGAATTTAACAAAAAATGACCCATGATTTTCCCTTCCTTCCTTTTCTTGCCTAAAAAATTCAACGCCTCCAACAACACCGAATGGAGAATTCGCGACACGATAAGTATCGATGATTCCGCCTACCAGCGCATATAATTTTGTGGGAATTGCAATTTTCGAAGCCTCTCAATTTCCCCAGGCACACTTCCTGGCAACTCTAGCTTATCGATCCTTATTGTGAGCATAAGGGAGTTGAAATTCGTAGTATTAAATTTGCGTTGGCAGCTTTGATGATATTCATCATATATGGGGTATAGAATTTAATATTGAGTTGTATCAATGCACGTTCAAATATATTATATCGAAAATCGACATTTTCTTTTTCTTTTTTCTTTTTTTCATAGAAATATAAATAAGTGCATAAACTTGTGTATATATGATATTTGATAAATATTATTTCGCCACACTTGCGATATGCACCTATGTAAAGAAAATTTTATTATTTTAATACCGTTTTTCAAGTTTTAGAAAATCGTAGATTCGTAGAGGAATATCGTATTAAAGGCTATTATTTAACAGGGTATTGAATTTAATATTCAGTTGAATCAATTCTGTACGTTGAAATATTATAACGAAGATTATTTACTTACTTTATTATATGTAATTATTTTTATTAACTAGCAACAATTCGCGAACGGCTGATTTTTTCCTCACTTTTTAAATAAAATTAGCAATTTTAAAAATAATAGAACTTAAAAGTTTTAATTCAAATTTATTTTATGTAAATAAAATATGAATTGGAATATATGGTTTTAATACAAAAATCCTTAATTTTTGTGTCTTCTTTGTTTGAGTCATAAACTGTAAAATTACCACGAATTCTAATAATTTTT